CCGGGGTGCGCTCCGCGCCGGTGCGCGCCGGGCAGAGGTACACGCGTGTGCCGTGGGCCGGGGACAATGCAGACGTCCGTGCCCCGCCGGGACTCGGCACACGATGTCCGTGTGTTTGCCCTTTGTTAGACCCGCTGTGGGACAGTTTGGGGGAGAAGATGCATCTTCTCGGAGGTTGAGTTCGTCCTGCCTTCGCCTTTGTCTCTTTGTTGCTGGTTTTTGTTCCTTGAGTCTTTAACTGCAGTATCTGATGAAAGGTTTGGAGTAGCCCTGTGGATGCCGAGGCTTCCGCCAGCCCTCCGTAGTCTTAAGTCACAGAGGTCAAGTTTTCAGAAGTTCAGTTAAAGTGAAAATTTCTCACATAGGGGCCATTCCTTTTAACATTTTTAAATAGTTTGTGCTAAATGCTTGAAGCTTGTTTTCCCGTGCCATTTACATATCCTTATGGCACTGGAGACATCTGAGTTTTATGAATGAAATTAACACTGAAAAGTTTGTACATGTAACGCTCACTTACAGTTTCTTGTTTCTGTTTCATTTTAGTTTTTCTGGCTCTCCCTCAATGTATGGGTCTTCTGGAAAACCTTCCTGCTCTATTCTCAAGGGCTGCAGTATTATTATTTGCATCAGATGTTAGGGGTGAGTGACCCGGACATTACTTTTTGCCCTGGAAATCGGGATGCTGGGAGATGGGAAAGGGACAGAATGCATTTGCTAATCGAGGATGACACTGCCTGCTAGCGCTGCAAAGCAGGGGAGGATCAAGTAGGAAGTTACTGGGAGACTGCTGACAGTTGTTTAGGAGTAGAAAGTGAAGAGTGTTGAGAAGAAAAAGAGCCAGTCAAGTGTGGGACAGCCATCCTTCCCCCTCCACTCCTCCCTCCCGGTGTTCCCAGACGCAGACCGGCTCACAGGAACACAAACATGCTCAACAGATGACTGGAGCTCAACGTTTTTGTCATCAAAACATTAGCCAAGCTTATGGGCTCGTACTGGCGAATTATTTCTAATCCACTTATTGTGATACATATTTGCTGAAGGAATTCTTTTGATAAGTGTTAGTTCTTTTTGGTCTTTGTCATCCTCATAGATCTTCTGTTCTGTGTAAATCACTGTAGTTGATATAATTTTAGGGTTTTTTTCTGATAACAAATTCTTGGAATCTGAATGGTTTAATGAAGATTTGACTGCTTTGATTTAGCAAGGGTAATATCCACCACCACCAAAAGAATTCAAAAAGATAATTTGGGGAAGCGAGAGACTGGTCTGTCTTCTGAAGTCATCCACAGCTACGCCATTGCAGTTGTTTGAAACGACTTCTGTCCAAAGGGATAGACTAAGGGATAACAACTTTCTGGAAAATGCTCTAGGGTTGCTCAGAATTTGAGAATCCAGGAAAAAGTGGATGAATAACATGGTGCTTTGTAACACTATGTCGTACTCGGGAATGGATTTCAGTGGAAAGTTGACATGGGGTTAAAGCACAGGTGATGCACATCCTAACCTGCTGTAGAGCCTCTGGGTTTTATCTTTGGTAGATCCAGGATGTATTTTTTCATATGGTTGGTATCATTGCCATAGCCAGCCAGTTCCATAAGCTTTTGTGAACTTCCTTGAAAGTAGGTTGACCCCAGTATACTTTTATCTTTTTTTCTCTTCTATGGCTGACTCATGTGTTGAAGAAATTAATCTTAGCAAAGGTAGTGCAAAAAGAAGGGAGTGAAAATACTTAAATCCTTCATGATGATGACTTTCTTGACAGAAAAAGCATGAGAATGTGTTTAATTCTACCGTAATCTCTAATGGCTTTGCAGCCCAGTGCATCCATTTGAAAACTGTGTTTGATCCTGGCAGAGCAAGTGGGTTGTTTACAAAGTAAATGTTCTTGGGTCAGCATGTTGGGCCAGATTGTCAGCTGGTATCAATCAGCAAAGTTCCTCTCAATTCAGAAGACTCGTCTGCCTTGTATCAGCTCACCGTCTGGTCTTTCTTTGTTTTTCTTATACTTCAAAATGAAAGACATGTACAAGGTAGTATAATGTGTGTTCAGAACCTGTGAGATGATTCAAGCAACAGACTCCTTGTCTTGGTCAGATGAGGACCCGGAGGCCATGCGTTTGAGTTTGCCTAACTGTGTCTGCAACTGTGGGGAAAAAATACCAAAGTAGTTTAAAGACTTTCTAAAATGAGGAGGAAAGTGAAGAGCTATGTCTAAAATATGCTTTGGTCAAAGTTCTGAAACTAATTTAAAAATTTTGAAAATATTAAAGGCTGTAAAACAGCCTTGCAATTAACTTTTTATAGTTTGCCTAGATATCGTCTGTATACCCCAAAGTTAGCTTTCTCCCATCTCTTCAATATATTTGTATATGCATATAAATCATACAGATGATTTTGCAAGGGTTGGGAAAACTGAAGCCAATTTTAGTCTATTCAGGAACAGAGTAAGCATATCCATACTAGAGCTGCTGCTATGTACCTACCACCGGGATTTTTGCCCCTCTTCTTTTTCTGTATTGGTTTGTGTAGCCACAGGCTCATGGCCCATCTGCATAACCAGTCTCTTCTCCTCTCTGTTCCATACGTGGGTGAGTGGCTTGCACTCTGTGTGCCATTTCTTGATGTGTGAAAATTTTGAGACTTAGATGAAAATTCTTCATTCATATTTCAACAGTTGATTTTTTTCTTAACAGAATGAACTTTTTTACAGATACCTTCATGAAGATTGATGCTTTTTTCTAGCCAGTTACAAAATGGCAAAAAGGAATGGCATTTTTGGAATTAAAAAAAAAAATCTCTTTGTTTTTCAGTGCGGTCTGCTAAGGATATGTTTCTCTCTTTGTATGCTATGATAGCCTAAAGTATCCTTAAGAACCTCTGCACTTGCAGCACTGAAAGATTTACCACAGGTCATTTTATTGTTTACCCAGTAACGGGATGGAGAACGAGAAGGGTTGCCATAGGAAATCAGATTGTGGTATGAAATGAGATCTTGGACTGAGTATCCTCAATATATTCAGCTCTGTCACGTTTTCATTCCATGTGTCTCTGATGTGAAGAAGGAGAAGGAATGAAGTTAGTCTTTCATTCAGTGGTCACTGAAGTGGTTCACTTTCCTTCAGCCTTCTGCAGAAGAAAAAAGCTCAGTTTTATTCTTTTCTCATGGCATCCTCTGGGACCTTGAACAAGATGCTTAGCACAGGATTTTAAAATTATTTAGGTACCTAACTCTCCCTCAATCTATCAATGACAATCTTCTTGATCCTTAATTCTGTACCTGTAAAAAGGCACTAAGAGCATGGTGGTGTCCTGGAAGATCAAGGAGGATAAATAAGTCAAAGGCACTGACGTGCTAGGAGGAGGTTAATCAGCCTGTCAGATGTCACTGCCTTGCTCAGTTTGAGTCCTGTTGATGGGACCATGAACTTTTCACTGTGGAATCTCCGACCCTGGATGTTTTCAAAAACCAATTGGGCACAATCCTGAACAAACTTAGTCTGAGTTTGGTGTTGAACCTGCTTAGAGCAGGAGGTTGGAATAGAGAGATCCCGAGGTCCCTTCCAACCAGAATAATTCTGTTATTATGTGATTCTTGTGGTGTAAGTTCAACCAGAACCTAGTGGATGTAAACCCCTTCCCAGTACTTTTGCCTTGATGAACCCTTTGGATCCCTTTGGATACTTAATTGCTTGTAACACTGCAGATCAGAGTCTTACTGCGTGAATGCATTCATTGCTGCTGGTTCAGGAACATGATTTAGAAAAAGAACCTGAATTTTTCGTAAGTAGATAAATGTTAACTTGTGGCTTTACATTGCTTAAAGGAGAGAAGCCAGGGAACCACTCAACAGGCATAGATTTCTTGCAGAAGAATGCAGCAAAGAGGAAAGGAATGTTGTCATCTTCATGTTTATGATAGATAATACAAGATATAGTAGGCATGAATTGCAGAAAGTAATTCATAAATTACTTGATGTGACTCCAAAATTTTCATTGTTGGAGGTTTTGCGTCTTTTCAGTCAGAGATATTGTCCAGATGATTAATTCCCTTGCAGACTTCAAGATTTCTAACTTCAGGTGCATCTGACCAACAAATTCGGACCTAAATTCAGTACTGGCCTTACGATACAACACAAATTTTGCTTGTAACAGCATTAAATGAAATACCTGTTTCTTGTTGCTTGAGTTCCCCATGAACAGAAAGAGCATTGGGCTCATTTTTTTTCCCTATTACCTATCTAGTCTCTGCTCACATAACTCTAATGTAGTCAAATGGTTGTTAATGCAAGAGATAAGCTTCTGGGTTTCAGACCAAGGTGGAGGAAATGCATTCTCAGAAGGGTCTCTTTGGGAAAAGATTGAGTAACTGAAAATGGGACTGAAAGGGAAAAATGCTGCCTTGCTTTTGTTATCTATACAGTCGCTCCCTTCTTATTGTGCAGTACTGTGTATCACATTTATGTCATCTTTATTCACTGCTTGGAATATATTTCAGATATTCCATTAACTTGCATGTCTCTCCTTTCTAGTTCTTCATAATGATAGAGATTTTATTAATTGAGGCCAAATTCTGCTTTCATTGATCCTTATGGAACCACACTGCAGCCTGCTTCTCCCACACATCTAAGCATTGGAGGGAGTTGTGTATCTTGCACTTTATTTTCCTTAATGCAGCATGTTTTTGCTATTTAATTGTCATGTAACCAGGCTATTTGGGATTTGCTCTTTAGAGTGTTACATGTAGCAAAAATGTCTAATAGATTTATGCTGCTATGGAAGAGAGAGAGATATATATGCAGGATTCCCTAATGAAGAATGAGGGTGTTAATCCACAAGACCTTATCTTTATAGTCCCCTTGAATTTGCAAGTAAATCTCATCTTGCGTTCTCTCTGCCTCATTCTAGATTTTTGATTTGTCAAAACATTTTTCCTTCAACCCTTTGTCCTTCCCGACAGCCCACAGTTCAGCGTTACTGCTGAGATTATTCTCAGTTATGAGCCAATGAAGAGCTTGAGTTTTGCACCATGTAGTTCTTCTGTTTGCTTGCCTTCTTTCTTTTTTTTTTTTTATAGGCCGAATGGCAGTAATCCTGTGAAGGACATCCATCTTACTAAATTTTATGGGAGAACTCCACCTTTGCAGAACTTCTTATAAAACTGTCAATAGTGAAGTTTTAATTAGTAGAGGTACATCTCAAATGATTAACCGAAACTTTTACTACTGTATCATGTAGACTTTTGTTAAAAATAATTTGTTGTCATCATTGCTCCTCATTCGAGGATGACCATGGCATAATACTCTGTAGAACAGAACTGAATTATGGCCAAAATATTTCTTTGGTTGAATATTCATTGTATTTTGTATCACCGTAGAATCACAGAATTGCTTAATTGCCTAATTGCACAGGTCTCTGGAATCTGAGACATTTCTGAGAGAGAATTCATTTGGGACAGAATGGGATCATAGAATCATAGAATAGTTTGGGTTGGAAGGGACCTCCAAAGGTCATCTAGTTTAACCCTTTCAACCCCCCTGCAGTGAGCAGGGACATCTTCAACTAGATCAGGTTGCTCAGAGCCTCGTCCAACCTGACCTGGAATGGTTCCAGGGATGGGGCATCTACCACTTCGCCGGGCAA